TCGTTGTCGCATTCACAAATTTTACAATATATTTCATCTGTTTTAATCTAAAAAATGTAGCTAATTACGTAATTAATAATTTTTTTACAAATAAATAGACCACAAGCTATAAGCAAATATTTTTACGAACAGCTTTATTAGTGGTGTTTTCTTTTTATAAAACTAAACAAAGATTTCATATTATGATTAAAAAATATTTAGCTTTTACAAATCGATATCTTTGTGTAATGTGCTATTGTAAACATAAATGTGACGTTTCGTTTTATATGATACAAGGCTCTCCTCCCCTAGTAACAAATACGAGAGTAACCTCCTTAGCGATGAGTTTGTTAACTTTGCTGCTTCATCTTCTCCTCTTGACGTCTCTCGATTAAGCATTGTCCCGAAAACTAACTCCCTGTGAGAACATTCTGCTTCCATTAATGCCGATAAGGAGATATTCGACCTGACTTCCTTATACATGCGTTACGAAAGAACATCTTTTTGCTAAATAAAACACTCTATTGAGAAATTTGAAGAAATAAAAAATACAAAAAAATGTTTTATTTGGACAAATATCACTTGCTTGGTGGGATTTTTCCTGAAAAATCGTTAGAATGTTGTCGGAAAATCAAGTCTCCGTCACGTCCGAACTTTAAAAGAATCATTTCATGTAGCTGTTCGCAAGCAACATAACCGATACGCGCGGCTATAAAAAAACTTTGTTGGTTTAATCAGATTATGGTTACAAAGCGGAGTTCTGAGGGCTGCAGCGTGAAACAGTTTCTGCTCTTGAAAGCCTTTGTGGGATATCGACAGCTCATGCTTTTGTGCTGAATTGTTGAAAATCTTTTCAATATCTTCCTGAAATTATTCAACGACTTACTGCTATGAAATGTTTCCGTTATTTTATTGCCGCCCCACAAAAGCACATTGTTATTATCCGCGCCATACCCAATCATCCTCCAACAAAATGAGTTCAATAATAATAGATGTTCCCTGCGTGTAAACCAATGGTAGGCATTTATTCAATCACAGCGAAACCACAAACCCAAAAACTTTTAAAAAGAAACTAATAACTAAATCTGAACAATAGAAAACTTGGATTTTTTAATTTTTGCATTTTTTTAGACAAAAAAGTAAAAAACCGACTTTATCCCTAAACGTCACAAGTACCTTTCAGCCATGAAGTAAAAATTCTTATTTATGCGCTAAGCGTTTTTCTTTTACCATGACATTATCGACATTTAGCAATGTTGTTTTTTTTGTTTTTTGCTGATTCAGCAATTCTTGGAGAGGTACAGTGAAGATCATCAACATTCGATATTTTGCACAATGACGCGTGATGTTTATTTATAAGCGTTATGATTTTATTACTTGCAAAGCGTTCTGATTATTTTGTTCAGTTTACTTGCTAATTAAGTGTTGCTCTTTACTTTCGATCTAAATACGTAATAGTATATGTTATTCGAAGTAAAAGTGAGTTTATGTGTGTGTTATGCGTGTTCGCCATATATACTATCACTTTTACTCCTAGTCACATAATATACTATCATTTAATGCTTCAACAAAACGCGGAGCATAAAGGCCGAAACAAAGAAGAGTTTATTGACTACCACTTTATCTACTTTATTATTTTATAAACACATTTAAAATATGTTTTGTGATAACGAATTTATGGGTATCTACACCTTTTTCAAGTGTAATTCAGAAAGCGTGAGATATACAGGGTGCGTCAGAATTCGAACCCCAGAAAAAAATGCCATATAAGGTAAGATACCAGGAACATGGACAAAATGTTAAAAAAATTGATCTATCAAAAATTTCGAAGTTATGAGGGTTTAAAGTTTGCACTTTGACTGTATTTATTTCTGTTGGAAAAATAATTTTACAAGTTTTTTTGCTATAGATTATTAAAAGAGGAAATAAGGAAGCTGTATCCTAAATTGTAACTCTGTTCAATGTTATTTGTGGCTTTTATTGTCAAAATTTTTATCCCTTTACGAAATAATAGTAAAAAAACATATACAAGATCATCAGTATCATTAAATATAAAAAAATGTCAAATGTCAAAAAATAAATGTCAAAATTTTTTGACAGATAGAATTTTTTAAACATTTTTTTTTATGTTCCTGGTATCGCCCCAGAGAAGTAAGGACTTAAAAATTTTCTCTGGGGCGCGAGTTCTGGCGCACCCTGTATTTCAGAAAATTGTAATTCAGATTAGTCAATTGTATTTCAGAAAGTATTAATTGTAATTCAAAACAGTAAAATGAATTTCAGAAAGAATCAGATGTAATTGAGATTAGTTAATTTAATTTCAGAAAGCGTAAATGTAATTTAGAGTTTGTCATTTGTAATTGAGAATTCGACAATTGTAGGGGAACAACGGGTAACTGCGAACACCTTATGAAAAAAATTAATTACTCTTAACCTACCAATATTCAACGTAGATAAGAAAGAAAAGCCTAAGGAACTACATAAACTACAGTAAAAGAAACAGTTTAATTTAAATAATACTAAAAAACTAACACAAAACAATTTATTGTAAATTCGGCATTACTCGAAGGTTGCCGGACAGCTGGTGGGTCACCCAGCCCGAAGAAGATTTAAGAGCCAAATAATTAATTGTAACAGTAACAAAAATAGGTATGAATATTATGTGCAAAATCACAAATATAGTCTGTTGGTTTTTCCACTCCAGTGCAGAGCACCCAATCTCCACAAGAATACAACGAAACCAAATTTCATTTTCTCATGTTCTCCTCTGACCACGAGCATTTTCTCGTCGTACTTTAACGTTTGCAAGGCATCTTTAACCAAATATTATGAAAGACTTTCTAAAATATTTCAACTAAAATACATATCGGGTAATGCTAAACCCCGTGTTCGGTATTGTCCGATATGTTTATCGGTTGTTTTAGGTTACCTATAGGCAATACACAAAGACAAATATTTCAGTGTTGTCATGTAAAACCATAGATAATTATAACAGTTCTACTCCTTTTTCAAGTGCAATTCAGAAACCATCACATGTAATTCAGATTAGTCAATTTAGTTTCAGAAAGCGTAAATTGAAATTTAGATTAGTCAATTGTCTTTCAGAAAATGTTAATTGTAATTCAGAAGAGTAAAATAAGTTTCAGAAACCATGAGATGTAATTCAGATTACTTAATTTAATTTCAGAAATCAAAAATTGGAATTCAGATTAGTCAATGGTATTTCATAAAGTAATAATTGTAATTCAGAAACCATTACATGTAATTCAGAACAGTAAATAAATTCAATTTTATGTTACATGTAATCCAGAAAATATCAATTGTAATTCAGATGAGTACCTTACTGTTATCTCAAAATGAAGTTTACACATAAACACGAGTTATTTTATTTTCAGAATTAAAGAATTACTTAAGTAAGTTTATACTTGCCATTTTGCAAAATAAATAAAATATTTTATTTTCAAAGGAACTTTGGTAGTGTAATTTTTAAATAAAAATAACGAATTCTGAATTACAATTGACGAATTCTCAATTAAATGGCAAACTCTGAATTATAACTAACACTTTCTGAAATACAATTGACTAATCTGAATTTCAATTTACGCTTTCTGAAGTTAAATTAATTAATCTGAATTACATCTGATTCTGAAATTCAGTTTACTGTTCTGAATTACAATTAATACTTTCTGAAATACAATTGACTAATCTAAATTACAATTAACGCTTTCTGAAATATATCTTATGCTTTCTGAATTACACTTGAAAAAAGTGTAGATACCAAATTTAGTAAAAACAAATTGTCCTAAAGTCACACATACAAAAGGATATTAATAAACAAAGTGAAAAAAATTGTGAGCAATTATTCTGACAAAACTGCTAATAAGAAAAGGTCTATTGTTAAAATATTGATACTAAATTACAATTAAAGTTCTCTGAAATATATCTTACGCTTTCTGAATTACACTTGAAAAAGGTCTAAACTTTTTGCAAAATGTTATTTTGTATTGTTTGCTTACCTTAAAATAGTACAATAGTAAAAAATAAGACAATACGTGAAAATTAAACTGTTGCCATAACTTTTACAAAACAAGGGCTAGGTTCATAATGGTTAAATTGCGACACTCGTCGTGCAGTTTACTTTTATCCTTGAATGTTGCTGGCAGCTAAAAAAGGCCAGTATCAGTTAAAAATGTGTGTTCGGTATTGCACGCTGTTCGTGATTACCCCTCGTTCCCCTGATTCAGAATTTATTATTTTCATTTAAAAATCCCTTTGAAAATAATATTTATTTTATAGAATACCAAGTTTATGTAATTCTTTAATTTTGAAAATAAAATAATTCGTGTAAACTTCATTTTGAGAAAACAGTAAGTTGCTCATTTGAATTACAATTGATATTATATCTGAATTACATGTAACAAGAAATTAAATTTACTGTTCTGAATTACAAGTAATGGTTTCTGAATTACAATTAACATTTTCTGAAAGACAATTGACTAATCTAAGTTACAATTTACTCTTTCTGAAACTAAATTGACTAATCTGAATTACATGATGATTTCTAAATTACTCTTGAAAAAGGTGTAGAGTTAGTTTTTACATTAACATTTTCTCGGTTTTAATTTGCAAGAAACCTTCGTTTCCTTCCTTTAACTTACGTTTAGTGACATGCACACTGCTATGTGAAGGATGGGTTGTTGAGAACGTGAGCTAAAAGCCGACAAGCCAGCCTTAATGAACAACTGATGATCATACTAGGGATTGGAGACGGAAATCTTGGATTATTTGCGGTAGGTAATCCTAACAAATTACCAAAACTTTCAGAGAAAGGTGTCTTAACGTTGAATATGGCTTAACTCTAAGACGAAAATGTTATGCACGAGGTGGTACATAATTTTGTTTGGTTTGAATTTGTTCCTAAATGTTTTTATGTTTTTTTTTTTTTTTTTTTTGTAAAGCTCGATGTGTAAAAATTGCTACTTTTGATATATTTTGGTTAAAGTTGGGTATGAAAACACAAATTTGTGCATGAGATTGTTTAATAATCAGTATTGAATATACAACCAATACCCAACCCCATCCCTAACTACATTTACGCCGGCGTTGACATTTCTTTGATCTTCTCGAACGTCATATTTCGTATGTCGTTGACACTAACATCCAAGCCCGACTCTTTCGTGATAATATGTTTGACTTCAAAACCAAGAAGCGAGTCCATTCCCAACTCCAACAAGGTGGTGTTATCTTCAATCTCTTCCAAATTCTTGATACCAAATAGGCCTGCAACTAATTCGGCTAAAGTTTTCTTCTCGCTGACTTCACTGGATTGGTCTGGATAAGCACAACTGGCTACCACGGGTTCGCTTTGTTGCAAGTATTGGTCTACAACCCTGAGACAAGAGCTGAGTTTCTGCCTCACCGTTTCCAAAATCGGGTTCGTCATCTTCAATCTCACCAAAATACCAACATCGGCTAGTGGGCCCCACTCAAGAGCTAGGGCGGGGAGACCTTCAGCTTTTCTTGTCTCGCAGAGACGTTCCACGGCCGAATTGACGAAGGCGTAATTGGATTGCACAGCATTGCCTATACTTGAAGCGATTGAGGAGAACATGACGAAATAATCGAGCTTTTTGCAGAGCTTGCGAGAGAGGATATCCATGTTTTGGGCACTGAAAATCTTCGAGCCGGCTACTGCAGCGAAGTCTTCAGGACCAAGATCGGTCATGAAGCCGTCTTTGACGTGCAAAGCAGCATTGAAGATTCCTCCAACTGGTGCCAGATTGGAAGCAAAGTTTATCAAAGATTCGGCTCCTTCAAGAGTTGCAGTGTCGGAGGTGTTGGTCAAGACGGTGATCTTCTGGTTGTTCCATTTCTGGAGACAACTCGCGTGGTACCCAGATCGCACCTCACGCCGAGAATTGATGACCACTTTAGTGGCACCTCTTTCAATCATCCATTTGGTTAGTTCAAAACCAAAACCACCCAAACCGCCAATCACAATATAACACTTACTGGGGTCCATGTAAGTGCGAGGGTAAGCCAAAATCCGGTTTTCGGGCTTGGAGAAGAAACCTCCATTGTCTTTAATCTTAATCAAACATTTCTTCACATAATCTTTATCTTCAAGATTCTTCAAAGCAATTTCAATGTCGTCTTTGCCATAAACCGAATATTTGAGTGGCACCACAACACCTTCTTTCACATATCTATCAATGTCTTTAGCGATGATGTCCAAAATCTCGGGACTTTCCTCAAACACGTCATTGACGTTAATATTGTACAAAGAACAGTTGTTCTCCATCAAATTCTCGGTTTCGATGAATGTTCCCAAACTATTACCAAACTCGATAAATCGACCATTTTTCGCAATGCATTTCTTCGAGAGTTTCAACAGTTCGATCGAATTGCAGTTGAAAATCGTGTTAACACCTTTCCCGTTGGTTTTCGTCATTAGAGTTTCATAAAACGGACTACCTTCACTGTCGTAGATGATGTTATTTTCTTGAATTTTAGGGAATTTCCTCAAAATATCCCGATTTGATGAATTTACAACAATATAAACGGCACAATTCTTGTTTGTTGCGAGAGCAATCGCTGCCATACTGACATCACTCCCCGAATTGTGGATAAGAATAGAGTCTTTGGGTGAGAGGTGAGTTTGGATAAACAAGGCGTAGTAACTCTAAATAATACAAAATTTGGAAAAAAAATTACACACAACTTCAACTTACCAAAGTGTATGCAAGAGGAATCGTTGCTGCCTCCTCAGACGACAACTTATTCGAGAAAGTCCAAGTGAGTTTCTCATGGGGTTGCACTGACGTAGCTAGAGCACCTTTGGAGACCAACCCCATTGTGTTGTTTCCATTCTTGTCAACTCCCGAGTACTCCAATCCCAAAAATTCGTACTCAGCATCGCCCCCTTTTCCACTGATTTTGGCCAAATCCCAGCTGCTTATGCTTGCGAAATTTACCATAATTTCGCATTTGGTCTGATACGGGGATTTTTCCACCCATTTGACTCCACTGTTGTCCTTCATAAGACAGGCATCGGAGTACAAACGCGGCTGGAATGGTTCTACCGGTAAACGGCGGTACGTCCCCCAAGCCCCGTCTTGGTACACATTCACCGTCAGATCCTTCTTGAGCTGTTTGGCGTAAAATTTCGAATTGAGAGCAAACGGTTCAACTTCTTTGTAACTCCTGATGAGGAACAGTCTGATATTTGGGCAATACTGTTCGTGTCGAATGGTGTTAAACCACCCCACAATTCCAGAATTGAAGTCTTCGTTAATAAGGTAGATGCGTGATTGTGGAGAGCGGTATTTTTTAACGGCCATTTTCAAGTCTTTGACCCAATTATAGTTGTTGTTGTTTGCCATCACGACTGTGTAGTTTTCAGGGAGATCTTGAGGACGTCGAAGCAAAACGTAGATGCCGGTCTTGGTGACGTGTTGGTAAATCACATCAACATCTTTCAAATCAGGGTTTTGTACTTTTGCAAAAACAAATCGAGAACGTCTCAAATAATCCTTAAGGACGTCGCTTTGATCCTTGGTAATTTCTTGAACGATCAACATATCGAAATTTTCACTCATATTGTCATCAATAGAGTTGAGTTGTTGGAACTTTGTTTTCTTTAAATTGACAGGTTCGATGATCGTTCTTAAAATTTGGATAGCTGCATCGGACTTGATTTCTGCAACATTGAGGTTCAAATACTCGGTTGTGTTCTCTATGACGATTTGGGAAGCCACATCAAGAGCATGGTGGAAGGAATCTGCTTCTTTCTTGGTGTCATTGTTAGGAACAAAAGTGTACTTTCGCAAACACGGTTCAACGTCAGCAACCCGTCTCTTGATATTAGTCACTGTCAAGCTCCTCAATTCAACACCTCCACATTTCGCAGCTTTTAGATGTTTGTTGTAGTTGAGAGTCACAGTATTGTTGGCACCAATCGATTTCAAGTGTTCTTGTGGATTGATCACGATTTTTTCGTAGACGGTGGGGAGACTATGACCTGTGGCTTCAATACTTAAGATGAATTGGGTCATACTGTCGATGAAAGCCACCCAATTATCATTCCATTTTAAGGTTGCTGACCGGCCATCGAGATCACAGCTTTGAACACCTTGGAAAAGACCATCGTAGTCAAATCCTCTCAAATGCATACAACTGTAAAAGTCTTCACTGCTGATTTTAAGCTTGTATTGACTAGGACGAGGAAGAGACGAATAGTCTAAGAACTCTTCATCGATTTTATTCACAGCTCGAATTAAACCAATTGCCAAAGGATGGTCTTCGTCATTCTCGAGACAAACTTCAAATTTACCAGTCGACCTGAAAAGATTAACTACAACACTGGTGATGGCATTTTCAGCAAGAATAACAGGTCGCAGAGTTTTGGCGTTTTCAAAAACTACCGGCAATTTATCGAATGGAATTTCCAACATTCTTGCATACGTCTGCCAAACCAAGACCTGTAAACAATTAGTCAATAAAACCAAAATCTTGATCATTTACATACAAGATAACCCGCCGCAGGTAACATAAGGCGTCCATCAGCAACGTGTCCTTCCAAATAATGATTGCTTTGATCAGTCATGTCAATATCAATCCTCTTCCCGAAGTAACTCCTCGGATTAAACCTAAGTTTGTGCCATTTCACTCTATGGTCCCATTTGACCAAATTGTTGATCATGGGTGTGTCAATACTGACGGGGAACGGTGGTGGTTTGTACAACTGTGTGACATCTAACGGACCACCAGCATTATAGTATTTCCCAACACTCGACAAGAAAAAGTCAAGATTGTCAACTCCAGGTTTGAGCAATGGCACAAGTGTCACATTTTTATCAAGTCCACGTCGCAAAATTGCCTGAAGGAGTCCCCTAGGCGCAACTTCCACCACAATAGCGTCTTTAGGTACATGCTTCAACAGTTGTCTGAAATAAACCCGGTTGGTGTAATTGTGGAACTGGTATTCGGCCGAATTATATTTCCCCAAATCGGTATTCCATTCGTTTTCGGGAACAGCTGATGGTAACCACCTCTTGGTCCTTGCTTTCACTTCAGGGAGGACTTTTTTCACAGAACTGTACATTTTTTGTCCGGCTGGTTCAAGATGCGGGCTATGAAGTGGGTAATTAGCATTGCTGATGAGTCTATTGAAGACTCCTCGAACGTTGAGTTGGTTCAAGAAATCTCTGACTGCATAATCAGGCCCAGAAATGGTAACATTGTCGTCGGAGTTGTCACACGCAATGTAGACACCTTCTGGGAGAAGTTTTGCACACTCTTCGGCCGAAAGACCGACTGCAGCCATAGCACCAGGGATTAAATTTGACGAAGTTGTAGCGTAACTACGAGCGTGGGCTATCAAGACTGCTTGTTCGGCTGTGATCAAACCATCGGCATATGCGCAAGCTTAAAAATCAAAAATTTAGGAAAAAAAACAACATTTGGGGACGAAACATACCGACTTCACCTAAAGAATGTCCGATAATCCCGGCAGGTGTGATATTCAAACTAGCTAAAACATCGGTCAAAGCTACAGAGATCGCAGTAATTGCAGTGAAAGTGTTGATAAGATTATTGAACGTTTCCTCGGTTCCGTTCATGATAATATCTTCGAGGTCGACACCATGTGGTTTCAAAGCGTTAGCACAAACCTTGATGGTGTTCCTGAACACTTCATTTTTCATCATGTCTTTGCCCATGCCTGGGTATTGGGCCCCAAAACCGGAATACACGAACCAAACTGGACGTTTCCTCGTCGATGTTTGGGTTATTTGCATATGACTGTCGTTGGATAAGATCGCAAAACCGCGGTAATTGTGATTGTCAATAGGCTTGTGGAAAATATTATCAAGAAGAGCCAGGAATTGGGCATTGGCTTTGTGTTTTACTGCTGCATCAAGCATCAATTTCACTCCTTCTTCAGATCTACCAGAAACGTGTACTAATCTATGACTTAGGTTATTGATGACTTGTTTTCGTTCTTTGAAGGGACGCAAAACGACCATGGCGTTTGCTCCTCCAAAGCCGAAGACATTCACGGCGATGAGACCCTCCGGTATGGGCATATTTTTATCAATTACCTGAAATTTAGTTTTTTTACGAGTTTTGCAATAAACCACTGACTGACCTTTAGACGCCCTTCGCAGATACCCCTCATTTCAGGATCCGGCGTTTTAAAGTGTAAATTTCCAGGAATGACCCCTTCTCGGATTGCAATGACGACTTTAGTCAACGAAACCAGCCCTGAGGTGGTTTCAGTGTGACCAAGATTGCTCTTAATTGAGCCAATCAACACGGGGGTTTTACGCCCCTTGGTGTAGAAAGCATCAATCGCAGCTACTTCTTCTACATCCCCGACTCTAGTCCCGGTACAGTGCGTCTCAACATAGTTAACATCTAAAGGATCAATATTGAAATGTTTAAAAACTTGTTGGAACATCGCCATTTGCATTTTGTGTGAGGGATGTGCCATTCCATCCCTTTTGAAACCCTCGACGTTGCACCCGAAACCGGCAAGAGTCGCATACATTCTTTTACTATCGTCGATTTTTTGCAAAACGAGAGCAGCAATTGCCTCGGATTTGACGTATCCTTTTCTGTTGGCATCAAACGACCTGCAGACTCCTTCCTTGTGCAAAACCTGCAATTTGATCAATTCCATGCTTTCTGCAGGATCGAATTGGTGCTGGACTGCACCAACAATGGCCATGTCGCATCTGTCAGCCAACATGGAATCAACAGCACTTGTCAATGCGTAAAACCCGCTCGAACAGGCGGTGTTGACAGCGAGACTGGGGCCTTTGAAATCAAAGGAGAATGAGACAACGTTGGCCATGATAGCCGCAGATCTTGCGATGATCCCTCCACGGTAGTCCAAGTCGGAAATATCATTCTGGGTGACGGCGAGGAAAACCCCAACGTTTTTTCCACGCAATTCGGTGGGGTTTAACCCAGCATCGAGGACCGCTTCGTAGGTTACTTCGAGGATTTTGCGCAATCGGGGGTCGCTCGTGTTGGCTTCTCGGGGGTTGATGCCGAAGAAAGCGGCGTCGAAGTATTCGAAATCGTGGATTATTCCAAGACGAGATGAGGTTTCCAAGCTTTCGCAGGACCATCTGTCGTGGCTGTTGGATAGGAGGTCTACACCTCCCAGAAGGCCTTCTTTCAACTCTTCGACGTTGGCACAGTTGGGGAACCGGCCGGCCACGCCAGTGATACCAATATGTTCAGCATTGATCGGCCTTTATGATTTTTTATCATTATTTTTTTTTTATTTTTGAAGAGTACTTACATTTTTGCTGCTCTTTTTCACCTTTCCTCAACCACACTGAAACTAAAAGTGCTGTTCTCGGACAGAGTGTGCCAATATATAGAGCGATAATTTTATCCAGGTTAAAGAGCAAGATAATATAATTCACAAGGTTTTCTATTAGTTTTAATTTTTGCAATTTACTATTGTTTTTGTGATTGATATGACCATCCGGTATCTATACAACTTTTAACTTAGACTTGGAAACTGTTTTTTTATTATTCATTATGCAGAATTTGACATTGTGGTAGTAAATGGATGCGAGAATTATGTGCAAATATATTTTGCAGAAACCCTTAAACAATCTCAAAGTGAAAATTAAGATTTTAGTTTTAGATTTAGTAAAGTTTTTAGTTTTGGGTAACCAAGTTTTGATTTTGAAATGAGTGTTTATTGTATTAATTTGTATCAAATTTGTATCATAATGTAAGAGGTTAATAAACGTTAATAAACGAACAAACAACAACAACAAACAAACTTTAAAAATTAATTACTTGGTTTGTTTTTTAATAATTAAATAAAAAAAATAATTTT